GTTATATAGGGGTTAGCCACGGTATCTGGGGGTTTCCTGAGATGAGGGGTTCAAGGTAGATGCCAAAGAATATAAACCCTAAACCTGAAACCCTAAACCCTAGTTATAAAGGCCCTAAACCCTAAACCCTAAACCCCAAACGCTAAACCCTAGACCCTCAACTATTAACTCTTGTTTTCGGGACTCCTCCAATGCGTGCTCGTTTTGGAAACCCCTATATAGACGGTAGGATGCTACGGTCCTGGCGGGTAAAAAGTTGCAAGACGAGTTTAGGGTTTGGGCGATTTAGGGTTTAGAGGTTTGGGATGTAGGGTTTAGGGGTGTTCTGTTCTCATACAATCTGAACACACACTCCCATGATGCCCCAACCTATCTTATGTGTTCAATCTCTCCTACACCATCAGCTCCTTCATATGGAGTTAGAAGGGCTTGCTTTTTACCCAAAACCCTTTGTGGTACCCATTACTGGGCGGGCGATCAGCCTATCTTATGTGGATTGTCCTCGTGGGCCACTTGTAGCACGCGGGTTTCGAGGAATCAAGGGCCTGGTGCCTTTAGTGAAGGAATATACTATTTGCGTGTATATATATATATATATCTAGGGATTGGGTTTAGGGTTGAGAATTTAAACCCTAAACCCTAAACCCTAAATCTAAAAACCCCCCTCAGTCTTTGAAGTGTCGTACTAAGGTCTTTCAGCGCAAAGCTTACCAGAGCAACATTGAAGAAGATGCTGCTGCTTAGTCCGCCAAAGCTTTAGATTTGGTGGTTTCCAGACATGAAGGGTTTAGGGTTTTAGGCTTAGGGTTTTGAGGGTTTGAGGTTTAGGGTTTTAGGTTTTAGGGCTGTAGGCTTCAGGGTTTAGGGTTTTAGAGTTTACGGTTTAGGGTTTCAAGTTCCATGCAATAAGGACTAGAGTATATTGGAGTCTGTTTTGGGTTCCTGTTTATGGGAACCCCCATTCGGCTGTTTGGAGTCTAGCCGTACTGTAGAAGCTTGAACCCAATATTATTCCTTACCAGTCCCTACATACCCACAGTATTATGTACCCAAAAGCCCAATTCGGATCGTTTAGGCCCCTAAACCTTAAACCCTTAACCCTAGACTTTAAACCAGATTCGCGTGATTCGGGTCGAGATTTTGGCCTCCATGGCTTGGTATACCCTAAACCCTAAACCCCTAAACCCTAAACAGGATTCAGGCTTTGGCATGCCGTGGTCAACGTCTACCATACTGTCCCGGGGCTTACCGCATCAATTATACCTTAAACCCTAAACCCTAATACCGTAAACCCTAATACCCTAACGTCTTAGGGCTGGGTGGACTCCGTAAATAGCATTCATCATTGTTCGGGATGGCTGGGGCTTTGTGGATTATCGTTTTAGGGTTTAACTTAGGAGGACCCCCCACCCTGTAATAGTCGTATAATAGGAATATAAGAGGACCCTAATATAATCCTTATTATCCCCTATAGCCACTATTGCTGGGTGGGGGGTCCACCTAAGGTTTAACGCATGTTTGCAAAGTGCCCCTGACCCTCCAACTTCCGTGGTCGGCACAAGCCAGACGAAACTAAGAATTCCGACCAGAGATGACTATATTGACTTCTGAGGTTTAGGGTTTAGGATTTAGGGGTTTAGGGTTTAGGGTTTAGGGCAGAGATGACAATATTGACTTCTGTTACGGCAATTTTGAAAGCACTTCGTCAACCCATGGCGTAATAGCGCGAAGGATTTAGGGCCTATACCCTAAACCCTGTTTCTAAAGCTTCATCCTCAGCCATGAGCCCTAAACCTTAGGTGGACCCCCCACCCAGTAATAGTGACTATAATGGATAATAGGGATTATATTAGGGTCCTCTTATATTCCTGCTATACCACTATTACAGGGTGGGGGGTCCTCCGAACCTAAACCTGAAACCCCTAAACCTTAGCACCCCTGTCTGGCTACATGAAGTACTTCAAGGTTCATGAGTAGAAAATCTACAGGTATACTTGGTAATGACATTATTGGGGCATCTCAACCCCAAACCCTAAACCCTATGCAATTGCCCAAAACCCAAGTAGTGGGGCTGCCCCAGGAGTGCAACCGAAGCCCAGAGTGGGGGCCATTCAGAGTCCAGATGCTGGAGAAACTTGGAGGAATGATTTAGCGTTTCGGATTTAGGATTTTGTGCTTCGGATTCCGTATTTAGGGCTTAGCAATTTCAAAGAAATTTTGGCTTTAGGGTTGCAGGGCAAAGGGCGATTGTTTCTCTGTGGATGGAGGAAATCTTGCACTGCTTTTACAACATAGATTTCTTACAGCCCCGCACCCCCTTTTTCCAACATTGGCATTGAACGCCTCCAGCAACAAATTTGTTCCAATGACAGAAATTTTGCACCGCCTCAGACAGAACAGCTGTCAGTGTTAAAAAGGGGGTGCCCGGATGCATCGTTACGTCATAGAAGCCTACTATCTAGGTGGTGTAAGATGTCCTCCATCCACCTCAGGGATTGCATGTACACATAATTAGGACAAAGCTCAACGGGTTTTAGGCTGTAGAGGCACAAATGAATAGAACTGGGTTTGTAGGGTTGAGGGTTCAGGGTTTAGAGGGGCGCAAACAATTACAATAAGGTTTCGGTTTTAGGGCTAAGGGTCGTAAATAGTTGGAATATGTTGGAATAGGGTTCAGGGTTTGGGGATCGGACTTATCTAGAGGCCTCAATGGACGTTTCGGAAGTGGGTTTGAGGCTGTGTTAGGTTTGGGGTTTAAGGTCCATCAGGCTTGTGGATGCGAGCTTCTGAAGATGATAAGAGACCCTACGCGATGTGACAAACTCGGATCAATGCTACACACCATGTTGCGACAGGCATGGGAGTTTGAATGAAACCCTAGACCAATGTCCACCACATGAACTGTAGCGTTTTCATCCTGAATATTCCTCTCTTAGCCACGATATAGTTGATAGCTCTTGAGGATCTGATCATGTGCAGGGATCACACTGGGGCTACTAATGGCTCACAATGACAATATACAGCTTGCAGCATGTTCGTGGTTTGGATCTTGCTAGGCCTTCCACAGAACTACAACAAGTTTGACTAGCCTCAACTTGCGATACAACCCCGTGAAAATTTCCATCTCAAAACCTGAAAGGGAATCTTCGAAGCCTCCTTATTGTCAGTGAGTGGTCGGCAGGCTTTGAAGCTAGGAGGTTCATGGGACAGTCAGTATTGGTAGAACAAGTCAACGTTCTTGAGCCGCTTACGCACAAACCTGACTGTGATTGAAACGAGTGGGGCAAAGGGTTACAGGGCTGGAGAGCCAGTCCTGACCGTCCTGCTTGCCTTTGAGTTGCCGATTGCCCAACATCCTGTGGCTCTGTAGTTTGCTTAACATGCCTGATACGAATTTTCTTGTTGCTGCTCTTGTTCTGTGCGCCAAGACTACTTACATGCTCCTACTATGGTCGGCATTGGCCATCTTACGAATTCGAATTTGCAAAGCCAGCAATTGAGAAAGTATGCCAATTTGTGACTTTTTCTATACATACCACCATTTGGGTGAGGTCGTTTAATATGCCCAATCGGCAACTCGCCTTTGGGAGTTCACAGATATTTGCCTCCAAGCATCCCCCTAAATGTACGGGACCCATTTGTAGAGAAGCCCCGACACCTGTGCTTTCTTCTCACAAAAAACCCTGACATAACCTCTAAGGGGAATCCCCCATGATTTCCTCATACTCGCGTCTGTATGTTTTGGGTCTCTAGGGAAAACCCGCAATAGGAGCCCACAAACTGGCCATTTTGAGGTCTAGTTGAAGTAGCCCATACCATAATTACAGTACGCAAGGGTTCCAGGAGTATAAGTTTTATAGTTCCTAGAAGCCGCTGTAGCACCCCAGGTTCCATTTAATCGTCCATTATCTGTTCATATGCCGCTCCATTACTGGGGGGGCATTCCGTAAACCCTATGGAACCCCATCACCCCTGCATTTTATATGATTATATAGTACCCCTAAACTCTACATGAGCTCAAGTCTAAACTCCTAGTATCCCCCTTAATGACCCCTGTAGTACTTCCTATATAATCCCTTCTATGACCCCCCTTTAAGGAGCTTAGACTAGCTCATATTTCCCTAAACCATGGGCCCCTGTATTTCGCAGGCAGGAGCTCCTGTTCAAAAGCGGCCGAAGGACTTTGACCAATGAGGAGCCTTTCCTTGGTGTCTCAGGGCTCATCGATTGCTGCCTCTCCAAACTCAAACCCCAAACCCAAATCCATGACACTAGACCCTAAATCCTAATCCTTAAACCCTAAGCCCTAGGCTTGGGATTCTAGAGTCAAATGGTTCGGGGAAGTTGGGGCTTGAATTGGACTATTCGGGCGCATTATGAGATTTAGGGTTTAGGGCGAGAACTCCCCAGCCTAATTTCCCCACCTAAGGGATAATTAAGATAATGGACAATGAAATGGAAGCTGGGCCCACATGGGTGTTGAATCAGAGGACTTTGGTTGCCACAGCTCCTGTAGCAAGGACCCTATAAGAGTCCTACAGTAGTTCCAGAGTCATTGCTACGTATGGGTTGGGGGAACAAACGCCCTGAACCCTGAGCTCTGAAGGTTTAAACTACTAAGCCCCGAAATCTTTAAAAGGCAGACTTCGACTTGCGGAGGGATCCTGAGTTGGGGCTCAGAGTGTTTCATTCGGTTTGGAAGTTTTGGTTTGGATTTGGTGCTAGGCTACTTGAGTATACTTGCTGGTGGTTATGTTTGGTGGTTAGTAGGTACCGGAATGGATTGCAGGCGTTCTTATTGAGGATTACATAGGGACTACTATAATTACAGTAGGCATCCGCTCCCCCCATTCTCTAGTGAACACCCGAAGGTAAGTCAGACCCCTCAAAAGCCAGCTGCAGTAAACCCTGCGTAGCTCCAGAAGCCCACAACACTCTACCAAACTTGAGTAAAAGAATCCCTCAAAACATGCGGCTCCAGCGTACTGACCCCCTTGTGCCTACTTGAAATCGCTCTCTTTGTAGCAAATTTCACAAGGAACCTAGGATCCCAGAAAGGGAAAAAGGGGCTTTCTGGGGAACCCAGGCATGGTTCAGCCTCTCTGACATGAGCCTCACCGAGTCGGGGATGGATCGGCCCAGGAGGAATTGCACCATGTGGTTGCTCCTTAGAGCAATAGGCTAGATCATGAAGATCTTGCTGCTACTATTGGCACTGCGACAGGAGCACCACAGATTATGCATCATGAGTTTTGCTCGTGATGAGTTCTTTATTCCTCTCTCTCTCTCTCTCTCTCATCCTCATTCAGTCCGCATGGCTGAAGACTTGTCCGCCCCAAAACTCCGAAACTCATATTGGAGGGCCTTATAGACTACGTACGGTCCTCTTTCAAAGGGCTGGGTCTCACAGTTTTACTTGGAGAAGGTCAGGGCTCAGGGTGCTCAAGGCTGATGGGCTCGGGAGGGGGCCAGGAGCCTGTAGAATCAACCCATCTTCCAGGAAAGTGGGCTTGAAATTGACGCATGACAAGGGTCCTCAATGTAGGACGTGACCTGAAAGGGTACAGAATGCTGGCGTGGGCCGCATTCTGTACTTCTGCTGTAGCTAATTGACAGTGGCTTCCTGCAAAGTAGAGAATGTGCCAAAGCTCATTGTAAAATAATCCCTCCCCTAATGATTGATACTCTGACCGTCACTGCAAAAACTGCCAGGGGTGGACATCGTCGTCATCCCACGTCCCCCAATAATTTGCTCCATTCCGCCCATGATCGAGTAGTAACAATCTTGGGGGCGTACTTATTATGAGGGCTTAGGGTTTATGGTGTAGTGAAGGGTTTAGGGTTCTTTCGGGGATGCCCTGCTTCTCCTTCCTACACAAAATCTACATGAGTAAATACTTTGCCTGAGCTGTTTATTTGGGTCTTAGAGTCTTAGAGTAAACAAAAACGCTGCATTTATTTTTGTTGTGTTGGGAACTCCCTGGCGGAAAGGTTCAAGACTTTTGGGCTTGTGGGCGTCGGACGTGCTAGAATGCTAGAAGACTGGTTGCTGGTTTACAGTTGCTGTCTTCTGTCTCAAATGCGTCAACATACAACTTGTTTTTGGGTGCATTTCGGCCAAGTACCAAACCAATATGTTCCTCTAATGTCTACCAAATACGAATACTAATACTACTAATAATACCAATCAGCAATATAGCAAGAGCTAGTAATACGTAATAATATTACTAGCAGTTACTAAGTTACGAGCAGTACGAAACATTCAAATACTAATGCCACGGCTGCCCCAGCATCTTTGCGATTTGAATTCCTGCGCCCTAAGAAGTGCCCCGATCTGTGAGGACCAAGCCTGGAAAGTGCATAAGTATCCTGGCCTTTTACCGAAGCGATTAGATCAAGTATAAGAGACTATAAGTGACCTTAAGATATTACCTGTCCAAACTAACTAGCTTCTGCCAAACGTAGTGGGCTCGCTGCGCAGAGGTGGCTGCATGTGATCTGCACTCAAACTGCTTAGTCCGCAACGAGAATCCTGAAAAGCCATACCCGGCCCACAGCTATGGCCTATGCACGTCGGCAAGAGGTCTAAGCCTTGAAATCCCCATGGGTCTACTCGCAGACGCCCTGAACCCCTTCTCCACCCAACTCACACCCAGACCATGCACAGCCACATAGGGCTCCTTGTCAACATAGGGGAGTCATGTTTGTAAGGCAGTCTGATCCTGCAACCACCTTCCTTTTCCCCAACAACATTTCAGTGTGGGCTCAGGTCGTTGCAGTTGTGGTCAAAAGCGTCGTACAGGTCGGGGCGATAGTCGAAGTAGACCCTCTTGATCTCTTCATTCAGCTCCTCAAGGTCATGGGGAAGCCGATGAAGGTTTGCTTAACACCCGGAGCATCTGTAGTAGCACTTAGCAAAGATGACACCTTTAGACACTGGCTGGAAGGGCCGCATTCCATCAACCGGCTTGAGCAAATACTCAATCCTGGGAAACCGCCAGCACCATGATCAACAATGTCATCATTATGGTCCCCACCGGTTTATTCTTGCAGAATTGGCAAACTTTTGTCGGATGTCCGTCCTCCACCGTGCGCAAGGTATGTCCCAGATGAAGACTCTTCCTGGGCTGTCCAAAGGCACTCTGACCAGGGTAGCAGGTCAGAATGTAGCCGAAGAAGTACAACTCCTGCATAGATCTGGGAAGTCATTTCTGAAAAACTATTCTTCCTCCTATAATCTACGTAATAAAGACCCCCAGAACTCCACTGACCTGTATGCCCCACATATCCCTAGCGTCCCTCTGGGCCACACACTTCGAGACACGGCTAGCCGGAGTTTCTGAACTTGATTGATAACCAGATGTTTCTTGGCTCACATACAAATCCGGGAAGAAGGGTTGAGACCCCTGCAGAGTCCCCGAGCATCCCCTATGCAATTTGCGCAGAGCCTCTCAACAAAGCCCACCACATGTAAGGCTTAAGGTTGAGGCAAAGGCAAAGGAGCAGGACTCTGTGTCATGTGTCAGGGCCGGTTCACATACCCTGTGCACCCACGAGCGCCAGCGGAATTGGCTTCCCGGCCCTCTCTCTTCTTCTTCTTCTCACTGGCCCTCTCTCTCTCTCTCTCTCGCGCATTGTGTCTCATAATCGAGTTTGCCTCCGTTTTGCTAGATTGTGCAGATTGTGCTCCCAGGTAGTTCACTGCAGGCACAAAGCATCCGCGGAAGTCCCTGATACGCCCTTCGTGAGGAGACATTCCGCAAACTACAAGATATTCAGAGACACAGGGCTCCTGATCAAAGACACCGACACTTGTGTGCCAGATGCCCTCTTCATATTGGCCGAGCAGGACCGGTGAAAGAACCGAAGCGAAACTCTTGGAGAGATCATAATAGTAGAGCTCGACTGGCCGAAATGTCAGGCGCAGCGCATTTGCCACAAACTCCGCATACGTGATGCTGTCGCTTCCCATCGCGTTCAGCACATCAAGCAAGTCAGTATCCTTTACTTCTTCAACAGCCAGGAGTAAAGAGCTTCAAAACCTCATGATCTCACGAAGTAGCATGGCTTGTAGGTCCAGACACCCGGGACGCTGCGCTTACGCAACAGAGGCGGGCATGATTGCAAACATCATCTAGAGTTGAGTCCTTCTCGTTGGGAAGTACCCATGATAAGATATTTCCATATTGCGAAGGGCTCTCAAAATCACGGTCCTCGTTTCGGGTACCGGGCCGTTATATACTAGGGACCCAGAAAGGAACCGTAATTTTGCCAACCTTCCATACGGGCCACCAAAAATCCAGATCCTGTGCTGTGATTGGGGTTATTTCTGCTGATGAGCTGCCAGCCACAAGGATGCGAGGGACCCTTATAAATAAAGGTTATGCAAAGGCATATGGGGTTATATGAAAGCATATAGGGTTTGTGTTGCATAGGGATTATACGGTTTAGGTATATTACGAATATTACTTCAACAATGACTCTCTGCAGATTCAGCATCAACATCGGGATCAAAACATAGGTTGGTGGAGAGCATCTTCCGCGTAACCATGCCTGAGATGAAAAGCTTCGCGCCCCGAACTACTGAAGTATCTAGGATTTAGGACTTGTTGGTGGGTAATAGGGAATGAAACTGAAACACTATTCAGGATTTAGGGCCTATGGAACGGAAGAATTGATCATGGGGATTATTGACGTGGATCATAGAGACTACTGTAAGGGTCCACTCCTCCATTCCCCGCTTACCACGTTTGTTTTGGATCAAGATGCATCATTCCCAGGAGTAAAACTTGGCTTCGGGATGGTAAGTCCAAGGTGTAACAAAACAGCAAGGAGAAGGTACCAAGTCCTCATGTATGTAGTGCGTCTCACCCCCTCAAAAGTTGGTGAATGCTACTCACATGGTGGCCTAGTAGGTCTACTTTCTATGACTAGTAACCCTGATCATAAGCCCCATGAACCTTGCTACTAAGTAAGCTTACGAAGTCAAGAGAGCCTCCAAAGCCTACAAGTAGGGCCCCATCCACTTCACAGGAGCATCCCCTTACGCCGGCATAGACAGCACGTGCCCTACAAGCACGAAACCAAATATGATGTGTTGAAGCACGGCCACATGCCCCCACACATACAACATGCCGCCTGGCTGAACCTCCACATTGGGGCACGGCCAAGGTGCCGCAAACCATCTCATCTGAAGATAGCCAGGTGTGGACAAGTTTGGCTACAATGTCCGGGATTTCTGACTCCCGCAATTTCTTCGTGATGATTTCCGTGGCTACAGACCCTGGGGGGTGCATGTCCAGCAGAGCGGTGTGCAGCCACTCATGCTTGTTGATCTTGCCGTCCCGCTCCTCAAAGGCATCAGGAACTCTAGGAAGAATGGCATCAGGCCGCTTATTGAGATGCCCCTGTGCTAACTTCTGTGCAGATGGTGAAGGATGCCGCAAATACTTCGTAGAACTCGTAACTCCTCTTATATATGCCTTTTAAGACACCCAGGTGCTTACCGCTCGTCTAATTTGCAGACCATCAAACCCTGCAAAAAACAACAATCTAAAACTGGTCAGCCCCTTCAAGACCCATCAACCCGAAACCCTAAACTAAACCCGTTCCCTAAACCCTAATCCCCAGTCCCTATATAACTCCAACATAACCCCTATATAGCCCGTATAACCCCTTTTAAACGTACCCAGTCTGCTGGCCCACCCAGGCTCCAGATCCATGACATCGAAAGCTCGCTGAACGCTAGCACCTGGAGGTTTCTCAAAGCGGCCGGGCTTTAGGATCCCTGGGATTATTTATGTAGGTCTATAATGTACAAAGTACAGATCTTCGGACTTCCGAATGGACACAAAATTCCTACCTCGCCTGCAAGGTGTAATTAAGGGAATCATAGGACGTCTTCTTCTTCTTCTTCTTCAAGGTTCTCTAGGCTTTGTTTTCAGAAGCTCCCGGGCCGCCCGGGCCTATCAGCTCTTTCTCTGAGTCACTCAGCGGCCGCTTGCAGACCTCTGTCGCCGCAGAGAGCCAATGGGCCGCAAGCTCATTCCTAAGTCGTCTTTGTATGAACTCCTCTTAGTTGGTGTCTTGTGGGATAGGACTGACATTTGCACTGCTATATCCCTTATTGGGCTTTGAAAAAAAACAGTGTTCTACATGTCAATAGCTGTTTCCACAAATGGCACAGTCAAAGGCAGTAAGATTGAAATATGGAAGCAGGATGGCTAATGCATGTTAATGCTGCCGTTTCCCTCTTTCCAGGTCGTTGGGCTGAGGTATCCTGATGTTACAGCCTTCTGGGTTTAACTGTAGGCAATCCAAGCCACCAAAAGTATAAACGATCCCTGACATTGGACCAGATTCATTGTTATGGTGCCTGAACCATCCGCGTCCAGCTCGCTGAACCTCTCCAGGATGTTCGTCAGTACAGAGTTCAGCGTCTCTTGATCGCTGCCCAAGAAACGCTCCAGTGCAGCATTGTGAGATTCCCTGGGCAGTGTCAGCGGTAGCTGATCGTCTTCCAGGACAGAATCCCTTTTCAAGATGAAAGGCAGCTCGTCTTCATCATCAGACTCCCTAGGCAGCTTCAGTGGTAGCTGGTCTTCGCACTCTGATGGTTGGTCATAGTCGAGGACGGAATCCCGTGTCAAGATCAAAGGCAGCTCGTCTTCTTCATCAGAATCCCTGGGCAGTTTCAGGGGCAGCTCATCTCCATCCCCATCCTCCATGGGCACCCAAGAAAGTCAGACGTCATTCCTTCGAGCCAATGGGCTTGTTACATGTCTGACAGCCTTGGATGACAAATTATGTCAGGATGCGTGCTGTGGCCCGAAACCGTGCAGATACAGGTGGAGCTACAGGGAACTCACAATACTGTCTTCGTCTGAAGAATTCTTGTCCCAAGGTGGGGGGATCCCTGCAAAGCACCAGCAAGGCGCAGAGGTGGTGCTGAGAGCCAAACGGCTTTGCAGATTCATGGGCTGAGCTACTTGGATCCCTGGTGTAAACAGTATCTACAACCGAAGTGTAGCCACCATGGCCTCTCCGAGTGTCAAAGCGGATTCATTGTGGCTTCGAGCCCTGGATGTCGGGATCTGAAACCTCGCTCGTGTTGCTCCTTGTGCTATGGCGCTGTGGATTTGGCATTTTCCAGTCCACGCAGCTGTCCAAAGTTTGACTTCCATTGGAGGGCTGTCAGAATCAAGGTCCCTTTTTGGTTGGGTACTGTAAATGTGAAAGGCGGCCGTTATAAAGGGGGCCCAAGAAGGTCCTATACTTTGATCATAACGGTGCCCTTGCTTCCGTACCCTTTGCACTCCTTTAATCCAAGCTCTGACGCCTCACAATCACAAAAGCCCCTCCAACCCTACATCCCAAGGCCCAAGCTCTTGACTCAGGTCGGTCAAGATTGGGAGCACAACTACGGCTACAGCGATTGTTCTCGCTGCTGCTGGGTTCCCGCTGTTGCGCTCCTTGTTGGATCAATGCTTCATCCAACTACATTCTTACTACTCGTGACTCCTGCTACAGCTGGTACTACTGCTGATACTACGAATACTCCACTTACGACTGCAAGTACTCCTGCTGAAGTAATTACGCCGATGACTGCGGCCTGCCATTAGGCCCGGCAGCAGAGACCTCCCTGCAGAGGCAAAAATGTCTCTGGGAGCCCGAAGCCTCGACTGTCTTGGGATAATTTTGGGTGGGTTTAGGGCTTTGGGGTCGATTTTCGGGCTTGGGGTAAAAGGCTTATAAGATTTACACAGGATGTAAGGTTTCAGGTGGAGAGCTGGCGGAGTTCTGGGGATATACAGAGCTCAACAACAAGAAGCTCGAAGGGATAGGGACATGTAACGCTTAGTAGTAATACTGAGGGTTATGGGGACATGCAAGTAAAAGGGCTTTTTGTTAGTATGTGGATTATTAGGTGGTTGCCGGGGTTCCCATTAAGGATGAGGTAGGGGTTGCTTTGAAAAGCTGTTATGTAACAATCTCATATCAAGGGGTTTAGGGTTTAGGGTTTGGGCTGCGGTGGGGCTTGTTCTTGGACGAGCTGGCAAGGTGGAATTGTAGTCTTAGGATTCAAGGGTTTAGGGTTGAATGTTTGAATGCTTCATGGGTCAGCCAGAAGGTATCTGTGGGTTATGTTGGGATATGTGAGATTTAGATGGACCTAACCAGTTACTACCATTTACCAAAGAGGAGTCATGTTTTGCAGGAACCGGAAAAGTTAGGGACCACCATTCTAACTACCTACCCATCTCCAGAAATCAATCACGTAACTCTCTATATACAGCCAGTTTCAATGTCATGTTCCATTCCTTTCCATTTGATTCTACACTATTGGGGTACTAACCCCTGAGCCCCAAGGCCCAAACCCTAAATAGTAGTTCCCGCTTCATGCTCCATTCGATTTTCCACTGAGTCCTCCATGACGACCCCCCATCTGAGCTTTCCGCGCGTCAGGCGCGGAGTGCGGGGCTGCGGGGCCTCGTTTGGAGGTTTCTCGATCGGGCGCCCTTCAGCTCCTTACCTGTTCACTCTAGTAGTATCCTCTCGAGCCACGGTTTATGCAGCAACTAGTTCATCTTGACTGTTGCCATGGTTCGTACGATGACGAATACCATGATCAGTTAATCATGCGCAGAGCCACTACCAGTTTCTTGTTTCTTTTGGGCAGATATGAGCTGTTGTACGAGTTCATGCTGCAAGTTCGTAGAGCTTCACTTTGCTTGGATATCTTGGGTACCTTGAAACCCCTTTACTCAGAAGTTAGAAATGGCTTGCAACTATCGCATCGTTGGGTTCTTTAGCTAGGAACTCGAAAAGGATTATCCTGCTGGAGCGTTGAGATGTAATGGGGCCTTGATGTTACTTCCCCCAGGCCAAAGAGCCGAAAACACAAATGTAAGTGCTTCCCTGATACGGTTGTTGTACATATCTTTTTGGAATCCAGAACTACACTTCTCCCCTTACAGTCTCTGTCAGAATGAACATGCAACTTCAACTACCCAAAAACACTCAATGTTTCTGCTCTACACGAAACCAGAAATCAAGTAGATGATATATATATATATAGATACACCCTAACCCTAAATAGTAGTTTCCATTTTCTTTTACATTATCCCAGTATAACCCCCATATAACCCTAATATGATCCCAGTGGTGTCTACAAACCACTAAAGCTTGAGTCGCCGGGAGTTGGGAGTTCCATGACATGAGTCGGAACTTTCGGGGAGTCCCTAGACAGAATTATAACATGTAGCAGCCCAGGCCTCTGTTTATGGAAGCCCCTTCCAAAAATGGCATGCTTCCCCAAATGTACCCAAGTACTGTAAGCCTTTCTCTTGGAACCCCCAAAAGGGCCCCTCAAATTGTAGGATTACGCGGGAGACCTGTTACTGTCATAGGGTCACTCCCTGCCCCTCACGCGCTGATTCTCCACAGGAGAAACGTTGATAAAGATTCAATCTCATCTTGGCGTGTTGGTGTTGCTGGGAGCCTTATCGTCAGTACCACTGGACCCTGCCCCTTCCAAAACAAGGCACTTGGTAGTTTCCCAAAATTAGGGGACCCCAATATAGACCCCAATATACTATAGTCCGTATTATAGGGGCCCCCAAAAAGTACCCCTCATTTTGGGAACCCCCCACTGTTGTAGGCCAAGTGGCTCATCAAAGGCGTGCTCCGGCTCTGCAGGCGGCTCTCAGCCAAGCGGCATAGGTACCTTCAGAAAAGAGCAGCCTTCAGGAGGGCTGGTCCCCGGTCCCTCAGCTGCAGTCAATGCTTCTCACTTGGGCCTGCGGGATATATGGCAGTGGTAAGGAGATTACTTCGTGTCCCAATCAAACAGTTGGGCATGTTGTTGAGAAAGACGGGGACTGTTTGTCCTAGTGGACTTGAGGTTCTGCTGATGAATAATGCCTGGAGGGTTCGGGTTCCGGTGGTTCCGGGGGGCAGGGGTTAGTAATACTACATATCTTAACCCAGTCCATCCGAGGCACGACGCTCATCATGGTCAGGGAAATCAAGGAATGCAAAGGATAATGGATACTAGCAGACTATTTAAGCTTTCATAGGGGCTACTACGAGGATCCATTGCTTCATTCCATGTTCGCCAGAGGTAAGAAGGGACATGCATATTTACTCTGATGTAAGGTGAGCTTGAACGGGCAAGCTTCTTGGGTGAACATGATTATCTTCTCCTCTCTAAAAGCAGCGGATCTTTTTAGGAAGCCCTGCTATCGCATATATATATATATATCATACGTACCTCTGTCTGCCACTTTTAGAATCACTCCAGGAATGCTATGGTTCCAAGCATGGATATGGTAGTTTCCCCGAATCGGAGGCCGCAATATGGACTAAAATACTCTAATCCATACTGTCGTGCTTACCGTTAGTATAATGACTTCAAGAAGGTACTCCTAATCTTGGGAGATCCGCATCTTGGAATTCAAGGAAGCACGGCCACTGAGCTGGCGCACTCGCTCTTCGACCTCAGGAGTTGAACTCAAAAAGGCTCCAAGCTTAAGATTTGGGATCTTGGGCTCTAAGCAAAAGAGTTGCCCGGTCTGAAGGGATAGGGTTTGAGGGCTGAGAGGTTTGAGCGCGTGGGCTAAGTGGGGCTTGCTTGTCGGGAGATCAAGGATTTACGGCCTGAGACTTTAAACTGCCACATCCCTAAAATGTAGGCGTTTTCCAAGAAGATACACTTGTTGCACTTTCGGCCAATCTTACTCGGTGAATCAACATACTATGTTGAATACACCTGGGGATGCTTCCTCGCAACTCTGGCTGCTTTCTCGCCGGTACGGTACAGTCCTGATTGATTGAAGACCCCAAACTTCCTGCTGGTTCGTAGGTCGCAAGGAATCAGGGAGACAAATCGTATGTGTACACCTCTCTGAAAGTATGCCCCCCCAGGGTAAGCCGAAAGCTGTCGAACCAGCTGATCCAAATGTCAAACAGTGCTTGGGCAAACATGTCATGTCACATGAGAAGATCAATAACAGGAAAGTTTGCGACACCATGTGATACATGGGGAATTTCGGAAGTCTTCGAAATTTGCAGGCAGGACAAGCATGGACTCCATTTCATGGATGTTACTTCCTCCTCTGAGTCTTCCACGCTCGCTCTTACTACTCTACGCTGTACGTACATCGCACAGATTGGAAGGAGCACTGTCCAAGGATAACTACCTTCAGTCTTCACCGCCCTGTAGACGTCTTCTTGATCTATGTATATGCGATCCTGCCAGAACCCACACCCGTATTTGCACTCAGCCAGCTGCACGACCGTGGATCGCGAGGCTGGAACTTGGAATGGCTGCATGGCAGCTGAACACTTGCACGCAGCAAGGGCCCTGGAAGATTGAGGACTTTGGGTCAGCAGCGCAGTATCAAAAATTGCTAGGGACCCTGTTCTGACTGCGGGGCCCTGTATGATGTGGATACCTGCCCCAGCCCTGTAGTGAGCATCTTAAGCATAAATGTGTTTCTCTATGGTGCCTTGTATACGTACGGGGTACATGATTGATGCACAGCATAGCGCCTGGCTAAGGGTGTGGGCCGCAGGGCTGATCCGCTTATCTTCCAGCACTAGGTGAACCTGGCTAAGACCAAAGAAACTTCAGCAAAAAACATGAGCCTGATGACTACCTGCTGCTCAGTAGGGAATGAGGGAACTGGTTACACATCAACTGGGTTCCTGAGTCTTGAAGGACTTT